ACTTATGAGTTATTTTGAAACGAATATTTTATTGCATCAGCATCAATACGGCTTTCGGAAAAATCACTCTACTATACAACCTGTCAAAAGACTGGTGGATGGCATAGTCGACGGCTTTGAAAACGGTGAACACACATCTGTCACCCTATGTGACCTAAGCAAGGCCTTTTACTGTGTCAACCGCTCAGTACTTCTACAAAAACGTGAACGTTTCGGTATCAGGGGTACTACCTACAGTTTTTTTGAGTCATATAAAGGATAGACAACAATATGTATTTTTCAATGGAACAGTTTCCGAAACTAAACTAGCAACGATTGGAGTGCCTTAAGGCTCCGTTCTTGGACCCCTCTTATTTATAATATATGTCAATGACATATTCTATCACCTTCAGCCATCCGATTGCATTCTTTTTGTGGACGACATTACTTTCTTCCACTCAAGCAACAGTACTGCCACATTACAACAAAATGTTCTCACCACACATAACAAAGTAGTCGAGTGGCTTGAACCGAATGGACTCGTCAACAATCCAGGGAAAACTAAAAAATGGTCTTTTCTATGAATAAAGATGTCTCTCACAGCAATGTTAAACTCCTTGGGGTCACCCTCGACAGTAAACTCAAATGGCACGACCGTATTTTTATTACGAACTTTGAAGAAATCATTCAGCTCATCGGCCATCAGAATGTCGTATTTCTCACTCTTTCATTCTCATCTGGTCTACGGAATAACCTTGTGGGGCAACTCCTCACAGGCTGAACCGATATATATCCTCCAAAAAAAGGCCGTCAGAATAATTGATGGTGCAGGACCCACGGCGGCATGTAGACATAGTTTCAAAATTGAATATTATGACATAAGGAGTAAAGGAATTGATATAACCGGTGAAGTAGCCACTCAAGGGATGATCACATCGAATACTCAAAATAGTTATTTATACACCAAGGTAGTAAAGGATATTATTCTTCACTACCAAGGTGTATATACATTCTTTTTTTCACCACTAGCAGTATATTTCAATCACTATAGTTCTGTGAAACTGAAATATGGACCTATTGTCACTATGAAGGCACTTCTTTTCAGTTATACTTGAAATCTAATAGCCATGACTGAGATGTTTATAATTCCTCTGGTGTGCAAACTCTTCAATTGTTTCGTCAGACTAGCTATCGGTATAAATAATTGAATGCGAGTTCGGAACGTGGGGTTCTCAAACTCGATGATAGATAGCGTGAACGATAAACAATTCACCTCCTTGAAACCTTGGAAATCAATAAAGCTGTCAAAAACTCTAACCTCAACTGCCTCAATGAACACACTCAATTCGATAGTCTTAAATTATTCAACTCCTTATTATTTCAACTACAATTCTGTTCTGTGTTCTATGTCACTTCGATTCAAAACATTTCTTGATTCTCACTTGACTGGTGTCATTCTGATGTTGTGTTTTGTCCTCAGCGTCATTATTGTCAATTGTCATTTGTCGATTGTCATTTGTGATTGGTTAACCTAATTCAACAAATTCAGACCCACATGTCGGTTCATTCTAATATTTGCTTCATATCAAACTATTTCTGGAAACTAAGCCCTTACAGAGCTGTGATAATGTCTGTTCCCTAACAGTTACCCACCCGCACTATGCGCGGTTAAAAATAGTTTTTTTCGCGTTATTTAAGTAATCTTTTTCCACCAATAATGGTAGGTATATGTAGATTTTTTATCAATACTTGAAAACTAACATAAGTTTTGTTTCATCTTACAGATTTTCTTTTTATACATTTGCTGATGATGAAGGATTAATCCTTCGAAACATGTCCTTATGTCCATGACCGTTGGTCATTATTGAATTGTTTATGTGGTGGAGTTGTGACTGTAAGTTCTTTCACCCCTCCTGATTTATATTACCTCCACTGTAAGTTATGGATCACGCACGTTGGATAGACAATTTCTGGAAAAATGTCAACTAAACTTTCAAGGATGTGTTTTTCTTCATCCGGGACCTGAAGAGTCCCATTGATGATGCACGAATTCAATAATTACTAATAATAAACATCTAGAGACAGGACGCAAAAGAAACAGGTCGCAACAAATTATCCGTATCTTTCACGTTTGTCATGTTTTCGGTGTTTTCGGCATTTTCAAGATTTTGTTCAAATTTCAAATAGAAATATTATAAATTAAGAGCAAGGTAGGTATTGATATAATATTATTATTTGACTGAGTGAATTGTGCTTCCATGCATTATGGACTGACTTCTGCAATGTGTGAGGATTATTAAAAAATTCGAACATTCGTTTTATTTCATGTACCAAAAGTGAGTAAATACTATTACCACATGGTTTTTTTGAGTTAGGACTTCGTGTCATTCATGAATTCACCATAGAAAGTCGAAAGTGTGACGCACCGTTTCCATTTAAACAAAAAATCGTGAAAATGAAAATGTGAACCCAAATGAATGTCTCATGATGCCACGCCTCGCTATTTTTACAAAGAAGGCGATATCGAGAGATTTCGAAACTCCTTTCAATAGGAAGTGATAACACCATTTGACTATCTATATATCTATGCCATGACCATGACATCAGCATATGACAAGTCCTTATTGATAAATACCTACTTGAATCGAGTGCATTTCCTGCGAATCTTGCATAAGAACAGTGAATTCAGATTTCGGGTTGATTATATCAGAGGTGGCTATGTGTTTATTGACTAGTCTATACTAATCTATACCATAACATTATAAAGCAGAAAGATTATTTTGTTTGGTTGTAATGAATAGGCTCCGAAACTACTGGACCGATTTGAAAAATTCTTTTACCATTAGAAGCCGACATTATCCCTGATGAACATAGGCTAGAAAATGCTTCATTCCTATGGGAAAACGGGTAGCGATTTTACTAAATATACTGCACGCTAGCACAAACCACGCCCACCATAATACGTCATATCTCCAAACATTACCGATATACTCGGAGTCAGCACATCGCACTAAATATACTGTATACTCCAACGCAAGAATACACTTTTCATGATTTTGACACGAATTCGACTGAAGCTCTCTCGTTGTCAATCTCTTGTACGCAATAAATTCATATACCCAAATGGTCTACTGGTTAGCGCTGTCGACTTTCAGTCTGAAGGTCCATGGTTCGAATCGCTGTGAACTTGAACTTTTTTTTTTGCAACTTCTTTTTTCACCAATGTTTTTTTACTTCATTCTGATTTTCCGTTTTCATAAAATATTTGAAGTCAAATAGGTTAGTGCGTTTAGGATAAACAGTCTCATTTTATTCAATTTTGTTGAAGAACTCAACTTTTGAAATATATTATTAATCAATGTGTTTCTACACTCCATTCGGTTTTCCTTCCTCAAAAATATTGCAATCAGGGATAGGTTAGTTCGTTAAGGATAAATAGTCTCTGAGTTTTGCCTAAGTACTTCGAAGATGAGATATTACGGTGGGCGTGGTTTGTGCTAGCGTACAGTATATTTAGTAAAATCGCAACCGGGTACCTGATAGGACAACGGGTAGTAAGAATCATTCTTCCGTACTTATATTTTTCACATAACTTCTGAAACGGCTGAACCGATTGGGTTAAAATTTTATATAGGTATTTCTATGGTTTGCTGAATGATTTGAAAATACAATTCGACGCGGTAGGTGGCGCTGCTGTCCTTACGTCAACTACTAAACGACTTGGCCGATTGGGTTGAAATTTTTAGTACGTAAAACAATAACAAAAAAATACAAACGATACTGAGAGAATGAAAATTGGTGTGAGTATATAATAGAAGCTATAGGTAAGCACAAGAAGAAAATATGTACTGTAGATTGTAGATATTGTAGATAGCTCAGAACGACTGCAACAAATGTCTTATTTTTTTTAATGGGTATACCAACCGTGCGGACACCTAGTGGTTCATAAAATGACTAAAACTACCTTGGTAGTAAAAACACACTTAACGCATTGAAAAAGAGTAAATAATGGTAGGTTCTAGACCTAGTGGTGGAAAAACGAAATTTCATCATTGTTACTTCTCCAGGAATATCTCTCTCTAGGTCAACCACAAATTAATTGAATCTTGATTATTATACCCAATACAGCCATATTGCACTTTCGCAGATGATGAATCTGACAACTTCAATTCATTCGTCGATAGATGTTTTGCAAAGTCTATTTGAAATATAAAAAAATGTGATTTACCCGAAAATGGTGTATGTTCGATAGGCTGCATCAGTCTCTTTTTCTAGAAAAACTCGAATAACTCAAAAACGGTTCATTTCAGATATAGGGTACGATACATGAATTCGAATCAAAATCAAGAGAAGAATCCAAAAATGTTATGAAATTTAGGTTGCTCTTTTTACTTGGTTATTTGGGATTTCATCTCCTCGTTTCCATAAAATGAAAATATGAGTATTTTTTCAATATATCGCTCACCGAGAGCAATAGTGGCACAATTCATAATTCTGGTTATCACCATGTCCGAACTAGAAATTTGATCCTCTAGCATCTAACAAAAAAAGGCACGAAGTTATCTCTTTCCATCATCGTGAGATGGCATTGGTGTCATTATTGCTCGTTCGAGCAACACCGACACAGCTTCAGTGTGACTCTGTCTATGATTTTTTTTCTGCAAAACTGGCACTTTTGATATGCGACGGTGCATTATGTATTGAATGTTCTGCAACAGTGACACTATTCGAGTTGTGCCATTATTGATATAAATTTCGCGTGATTTCCAGATTGCATCGCGGTGACGACAGTAAGAGTTTTAGTGTTATGTCACTATTCTTTGTGTATTCGTTCGCAAACTAGTTCGGATCCTTCGCAGGAAGAGTGAATTTTTAGAAATGTGCCGGTGTAATATCAACCAAATTGCAAGAACGTCATCAGTTCTCCCAACTCTGAACTCATGTTTCAGTAGCGCTATCAGGTGGACAATAAAAATATGTTTACATATGTAACTTCCATCTCTTCTGGCCTCTTCCACGAAATGGCTACTGTTACCTCTAACAAATCAAAACAAGCCGTGGGATCAATTCTACCTATCATGGCTAAAGCAAAAATTCATACTTGGCAGCCTAGAATTAAATTGTTTGCCTCAATGGCTCTCAGCGTTTTATCTAACTCCATTCCTGTATGGAGCTTAAGGTATTTGGATGTTTTAGAACGAGTTCAACTAAATTTTTTAAAAAGAGTTCTCTTAGTACCTTCCAATACCCCAGATGCCATTGTTCGCCTTGAGACTGGAAGAGTCAAATTTGTATAGGTACTACATATTTAAAATGACCCTTAACTGGATTGAAACAATTTATTCAATGGAAAATAAACGATACCCCAAACTTTGCTTATTACAACTTCGTTTGATCAATGGCTCTGATGACAAATAAAATTGGTTGCTACGGGCGAAAAAATTCTTTGCAGATATAGGTTGCCTTGAAACCTGGAATAATATGAGTAGTATAAATAGGAATTGTAAGAAACAGCTACTAACAAAATATTATGCTTATTCACATGGCTTAGATGAGTCTATAGCCTCCCGCTACCAATTTCTTTGTATTATTTGACATTTCGTATATTCCAAGTACTTATCTACTTTTGAAATTACCAATTCAGGTCACTCGCACTTTTGCTCAGTTACGCATGTCAAATGAATTTATGATTGAGTTCACCTCAAATGGGATTATTTATAAAATTGATCCAAATTCAACTTGTACCGTATGTAACAGAAACCAAAATGAGACACTCATACACATGCTCTTCGATTGCCCAATATATATACCGATACTGTTATGAATCAGAATAATCCCTGCCTTCAGAGTGTTGATTCATTAATTGTTGCACTTAAAAATATCACTTTAACTGAAGCTACAACTATTGCTACTTATATTTGGAAGATTCTCAAGTTTCGTTCATTCATCCTAACCGAATAACATACAGAGTGGGCATTTGAAAACGAAACAGAGGCTCTGTAGGTCGCCAAAACCGGATTATGAAAAGAATCTGAAACACGTCATCTACATTTTCGAGGGGGACATCGTCCTACAATATTTTCAGCCCTGCGGCGTTGCCGCTGCTAACGAAAAGAAGCAACAACTTTGTTATTTCAAATGGAACACCTGGTATTTTATTGCATTTTTAGATTCTCCCCGAAAATATGATTTCATCAATGCGTCACACTTGGGGTCTAGCTGTAATGGTTTCAGGGATATAAAGTGTTCAAAATCGAGATTTTTCAACTTTAACATTTTTTTGTGTCGAAACTAATCATTATTGGTCAAAACGACTCCCATGTCTCTATCTCAACTTGTGATTCACTATCTACTAACATTTAATTGGAACAGATACAGGGTGATCAGAATTCTGAATCTTGAACCACCCTGTATTTGTTTCAAATAAATGTCAGTAGATAGTAAATCACAAGTTGAGATAGGGACATGAGAGCCGTTTTGACCAATAATGAATAGTTTCGACACAAAAAATTTTTAAAGTTGACAAATCTCGATTTTGAACACTTTATATCCCTGAAACCATTACAGCTAGACCCCAAGTGTGATGCATTGATGAATTCAGCTCTTCGGAGAGAATGTAAGAATGCAATAAAATACAAGGTGTTCCATTTGAAATAACAAAGTTGTTGCTTCTTTTCTTTAGAAGCGACAACGCCGCAGGGCTGAAAATATTTTAGAAAGATGTCCCCCTCGAAAATGTAGTTGACCTGTTTCAGTTTTTTTTTGATAATCCGGTTTTGGCGACCTACAGAGCCTCTGTTTCGTTTTCAAAGGCCCACTCTGTATATAACTTGTTATGTTCATTAGTATTTTGTAATGCACATTGTTATCATTAATTTCCATCATTCTGTGATTCTTTTTTGTTATATCGCAATTAAATATATTATTATTATTATTATTATTATTATTAGCCTTCATTCCCAGAACTATGGAAACATCCCTTATATATTTTATTAATAGAAAATTAATTTTATTATAGGCACATTCCGATTACCGCAATGAACGTTATGATGAGTCGTTCACTCAGTACGCCCTCTTATCGGAACTGGGATACGAAGCTGCGCAGAGTAACGCTGCCTTCATGTTGGACAGAGGGGAAGTTCCCATGTTCACGACTCACGAGTCTTTGGTTAGGGCTCTGCTGTTTTGGGGGAGAGCAGCTGCCCAGGGCTACTCTGCGGCTCAGGTGAGATATGAGAAACAATAAAGACTATCGACCTGATGAGACTCGTATTTATTAACTGTGACAAGAATATTTTGTGGGTGAGAAGAGAGTATTCCTTCAACCATTTAGTCATGAACGTTTTGTAACTGCTCATTGGTCTTTCCTCCTAACCTTCTCCTGGTAACACTCAGACAAGGAGAGTAAATACACAGAGAGTGTTCAATCGGGCGGCTGACCAATCAGGTTCCGCTGACTATCTCTTACTAGGGTCCCTTGATGCAAACTGACGTATTTGTCATCTAACAGGGTACGGACAGATCATAGCTCCTTTCTCTTTTAGTCATTTAGTGACTTTGGTTTCATGTATTGGCGTCCCTGACATGTCATTGCTGTCACGTCACATTCATAGGCGTTGAAAGAGATCTTACCAAATTTTAATTTCATACTTTATCTCAATACGACATTATTCAAGTCTGTTTTGGAGGGATGGTAAAATGTGCTGCGTTAGGCTGTATCAATGGCAAATTTGAATTTGTCAGCTTTCCATCAAATGCAAATAAACTTAGAACATGGAAAGTAAAGTGACCGAATGGGGAAAATTGGTAAATACATCAGCAAAATATTCGAGGTAAAACTAATACGAAATCACATATTATACTTTCTCATTGTGCCTATAATTATCCACTCCACAAATTTTTGAATGCATTTAAGTAGAAACAGTTTTGATTAAAACAGAGGATTAAAAGAAGAGGCATATGCCCTACCATTTAAAAAATTATACTTACGTTCAGGAAATATTAAGTGTTCCTGAAAAACCGCGAAAATGATTCCCAACATGAATATATACAGCACACATGACATGGTTAGGTTAGGTTAGGTTCCATGTGAGTGGGGCGAATACCTCCCCTCCACTGCGACCCCAGATGGGTCTATTGTGGCTCACCCCTAGAGGTTACAGTTCACCGTACAATCCACATCTTTTTACAAAGTTCATGGTTGAATTGGGTGAGATTTGTCACACATGACATATGAGCACATTAGTTTGAATATCTACATATAATTTCTCGCCATTTCTCAACCATATGGCTCAGTCTGAAATCAAAATTCATTATTGATAGGTACTGCCTAAGAACAGTCCCATTTGGTAAAACGTATTAAACTTTCAGAACAATTTACTCACTGCCTCACAAAGATTATGCTGGAGTTGAAAAATCAAAAACTCGAAAATTATCATCATCATCTGGATATAATATGTAGAGTTGAATGAGAAATTACATGTGGAAATTACGTATGATACGCCAATGTCCTCAATATAACCTAAAAAATAACATATGTCCGAAATCTAGTGTTAATCCCCAGAAATGAATAAAGATTGTTCATGTTTTGGTTTTGCGTGGATTCATGCCAATTTTCGATCTTCTCACAGTATTAATTTTCTCAGTAGTATTATACACCTACTAGAAGACACGCATACCTTCTGCAGTACATTTTCCATTAGACAAAAAAGTGAGTATGACACAGGTAGCTTAGAAAATATTTCAGTAAAAATCATTTTCCTACTTTAAATACTGTCTGTAGGTTGATCGAGGAGGTGGTATATTCATTATTCCAGATTTTTTGGGATTTTCTCTCCTCGTTTCTATAAAATAAAAATATGAATAGTATTTCAATATACGTGTGGTAAGGACAAACCAGATGATTTGCCCCAAAAGACCTGTTCGTTTGTGTTTGCTCTACCTGCTAAACTTGATTTTTTTCTATGACTTTCTCTGTTTACATCATGCCATGAACAGAGACAACTATGGCAGAAAAATCAACTTTAGCAAGTTTAGCAATACAAACGAACAGGCCTAAAATGTCAGTGCGTTTTAAGAATTTTCCTATCAGAGAACGTAAAAGAAACATTCACTAGCTTATCAGTGACAATTTGTATTGAAAAAAGTTTGGAGAAGAGAAATAAAGGTATATAGAAAAAATATCAAATTTAATTTTTACATTGCTTTGAACGTTTCTCCACGACAGTTGGTGACGTTGGTAATCAAATTTTTCTTTAGGCTCTCTGATAGAAAAATTCTTTAAATGCACTGACATTTTGTTTCATCTGATTTGTCCTTACTACACGTATATTGAAATAATATTCATATTTTTATTTTATAAAAATGAGGAGAGAAAATACCAAAAAATCTGGAATAATGAATATTCCTACTTTTTTTTTTCAGTTCTACACCTACCTGCATTTTCGAATTCTGATCCAAATATAGTTGGTTATGACCCCTGAAAGCATATTGAAGACAAAACAGACTTAACTTGCCTGAAAAATAGATTTTTGTGAACCAAATATGAACATTCACATCTGTGCCAGTCAACATGCATTGGAAGTGCAGAATGGATTTGAAGGACCAATAAATTATGTTAGTTTTTCACTTCCCTAGGTGTCTAGCGCCTTCAATACGATTAAGAAGCTATAGAACTAAATAATTGAACAAGTATTCAAAGGAAAATACAGTGATTGAACCAGCTGTATACCTTTTCAACTTCAATTTCGGAATCGGTAGGTTATATTTCGAAAAAAGTAATCTCGATTTCAGAATTGGTTAGTTCGATTTCAGAAATGGTAAACTCAATTTCAGAATCGGTGAGATGAATTTCAGAAAAAGTCAATTTCAGAAATGGTAAGTTGTATTTCAGAATTGGTAGGTTCAATATCATAAAAAAAAACCTTATAATTGTTCGAAATGTTTCCAATTGCATGTGAGATTAACAAACCATATTTAAAATATTCAACTTTTCAAAAACAATTTAATCCACTGATGCCTTCTATCTGAATGGCTGGAAGATAGTGGCGTTGCACATGATTATAAGAATGCAAACACATGTTTGAGGTGTTATCATTTTCATTGAATGATCTGCACATTCTTCAAGACATCGCAGTCTGAATTCTATCTGGTTGAGCAATCTGTTCGGATCTCCAGCTATGACCCTTTGGCGATACTCTTGCAAGAAGCTCTTCACTTCTGAGGCACCCCCATATAATATGTTCAATCTGATTCAACATAGGGCTCTCAAACACCGTTCCATCCACTGTAAACAATCTTCTCTTTTGCAATTACATTTCAAACATATAAAAGGATTTCATCTTCTGAAATTGAACCTACCAATAATAAATCTGAAATACAACTTACCATTTCTGAAATTGAATGGACTTTTTCTGAAATTAATCTCATCAATTCTGAAATTGAGTTTACCATTTCTGAAATCGAACTAACCAATTCTGAAATCGAGATTACTTTTTCCGAAATATAACTCACCGATTCCGAAATTGAAGTTGAAAAGGTATAGACGCTGGAGTCTGTTAAATTTATATTTAAGCTTGATGTGCTGCCAAGATTCTGAATGATGTGCTCACAAATAATACTAGAATTGATTTTTTGACTTTCCTGTAGTGGCTGTAGTTGAAGCAAAGTTTCTTACAAACAATTCCTTAAATTGTGCTCAGAGGAGGAAATAATGAAAGTGAATAGGACTTTTATGGTCAGGAAGGTTCACTTGTTCAGCACTTTGAAATTAATGTATTTTCAAACTATAATTGTTGACAATTTTGATGAAAGGGGTTAGACACAAAATAAAAAATCGCAGGCATGATTGTTTTTCATTTTATTATTCATCTTGGAACCTCACATTTATTATCTTACAAAAAGACTCCAGACAAAGATGAAGGTAGTGCATTGAATTTTGATCACAGGTAGATATAATCAACACTATGATTACAGGCAACCCAAGTATCTGTTATCAATTCAATTATATTTAATTCGTAAAAATTTTAAAGTTTATGATTTGGAGAACAGATGTTGTACAGTTGAAAAACTTGTATTTGCAAAAAAATATTGGCAACAACTTTTGTTGGTAAGTAGGTATACTTTTTAAACTAATAAATGACATGTTCAATAATAACTGTGACTTCTATTCCTTCATTGCATCATCTATATAGGTTCCTTGAGTTCTTCATACTATTTTCTTGTAATTAGTTATCTTCTATGCATCCAAAAATACCAAAATTATTGTACTCTAGTTCTTATGATTGTGAACAATGATTCCAGTAGGTAGGTACTAATGAGAAAACCCATCTTTCTGATTTCTCATGGGTAGGTACCTATATATTATTCTTTGATGCAGTAAAATAATTTCTAAGATAATTCATATTTTGTAGTCGTTTGGTTCGTTCGAAAATAGAAATCTCCGATGTTTTTATAATTATTGTTAATTATTTTCTATATTTATTTTGGTGCTCATTTTTGACAGCCTGACAGTGTTCAGGCACAGAATACCATCCGGTTTTTGCATCTCTTTCTTAAACAATGGGCATTTCCAGTAATCTCCAGAAAAATCATATTTGGTTATAAATGACTCTCGAGAACCTTGTACAAATTTTTTGGGATTTTTATTTTGGCCGGATCTTAGATAAAAAAATTATTGAAAACGGCAAAATGATCCAACGAATTCAAACGAGTATTAAAGGGAGGGAACCGTTTGACGTCAGCGCGCGAACGATTTCGATTGGTTACATGTTCATGTTGTATGATGTTGTCTCGCTTGCTGAAAAATCAATAAAAAGTTTTCCGATGTTGCCATATTACATAAAATGTACGAACTCCTAGGACAAAACGAGGAATAAATATTTCAGTACCTATCTCACATAGAGAAAACTAGGTAGGTATTCACCTATCTAATGAGCTCGTAAGAGGTATTTTGGGACAGGTATATAAACTGTACTCAATTGATTAGGGATGATTAGGAGATTGATCATCAGAAGATAATATAATATGTATTGATAGCAACAATTTGAGAACAGTAATATATTTATTTAAGTTATATTTAATTGATCCTGAAATATCCAGAACATCATCAGTTACTATTCAATTTGATTAGTGTACAGTGAATATTAGAAATCGTTGGAAAAGGCTCGGCAACAGTGTTGGTGTGACTCTCGTGTTTGTGCTTCGACTGACGAGTCACGTCTGGTTATAGGTTATGTTGAAGATAAAGCATGGTTGCCACATAAGTTATTATATTTTCCAGGGAGGAGGAACGCTAATGGTCAAAACACGTTTAAATTTGGTATATCGAGATATTTTGATGAGTATTAGTCATGACATGAAATATATCGAATTAACCGATAACTGAATCAGTTATTTATAGCAACTAAATAATACAAAACAATGATCCCAATGGATATTTGTGTACCTAAAATTATTATGAAAATACGCTATAATACCCTCGGTAATATCTAATATTTTCAAGTTCTTGGAAAGTGAACAATAGTCAGCAATGTATTGATCAAGATTCAGTTATTTGAATTCCTATTTATATTATATCTAGATATTTTATAAAGACCTGGCAACTGTGTTGTTTCTCTCAGCTAATCCCGCCTCTCTGTCGCCATTACCATATTCAACCAATCAAATCACTACGCGCCCTGACGACACAAACTGCCACCAGATTTTAAACGTTTGAATATTCGTGTTTGAATCACACGATTTCGACACTAATTTATAAGGCAATGGTTTGGAATAAAAATATAAAAAAAATTCTGGACTATGATTTGGATGGTCCTTCATAACATTATGACAAAAAAACTGCAAATTTTTTGAAACTGGAAATGCCCATTGCCTACTATGCTGCTTGAACACTACTTGTCTCTATTTACTCTCCTTACCCCTAGGACACTTATTGCATAAGAAGTTAACATCTGTAAGAATATGAGGGAGAGGGCTGATTCAGACGGACATGTAAAGACACAATAAAATATAAATACCCAAATCCATATCACATATTATCTTGATGATATATTGAAAACATGGTGATCATTGATGTCTCGAGGTTGATGGTCAAATATCTTCTCGAATATTATCCAAGCCAAACAATAAAGACTTGTAGAAGTGATCATGTTCAAGTATTTGGGAGTGATCATTGATAAACAACTTAATTCTAACAGTCATTGTGACTATTAAAAGGAAAATGGCGCGAAAAATAGGTTTTATGCACAGGATAGGTGATAAAATGTCTCATTTTACTGAATTAACAGTTTGCAAGTCAATCATTGCACCTCATATTGATTATTGTGTCACTTTACTAAGTTTCCAAAGTAATGAACAGGTTAATACACTTCAAAAACTCCAAAATCGTGCAATGAGAGCGATGTTGAGTTTCAAAAGGCGAATATCAGTCACAACAATGCTGAATACACTGCAAATAATAAACATAAACAAATAGTTACCCATAATACAATGGTTTTTGTCTATAAATTGAAGAGGAAACGTTTCACCTTCTAATTTATTAAGTGAGCTGAATATGTTCCATATGTACATTGCCATAATATTGCAGGGAATGATTTTTATATACAAAAAATGTGTTCAGTAATACTTCATATACAATAGATCAAGTCTTAATATTGAAAAAGAATATTCTCCGATATAATTATGAACATAAAAAAATGGATATATGTATAAAGAAATACATTGAGAATTCGCATTCTCTATGTGATGAAAATATCAATTCTTTCTTGGTTCATTCAACAGAAAACAACTACTTTCCTGGCTATATGCCACGACGAACATTGAATTACATCTATTGAACATACACGATAAGAATTTGAAAACAAAATCTTCTGAAGTAGAGAATTTGCATTCTCCTTCATATAAAGATATGCTTATAATATCATTCTGAATATTCAACAGAAACAACTACTTTCCTGTCTATTTGCCACGTCGAACATTGAATTATATCTGTTGAACATCCAAAAAGAGAGCATGAAAAATGAAAATCCTCTGAAATCGAGAATTGACAGCATCTCTCAAATAGGCTCAGTGGTCGAGAGCGTGAAGGCGCTGAGTTCGTATGGGGACTCCCACCGAGACATAGGTTCGAATCCTAGTTAGGCCATGGATGTTTGTGTTTGTATGCTCACCTAACCCCGCACAAGTTTCGACTTATGGGGCGTTTGGACCAACGAGGTAATGCAATTGCAAAAAAAAATATAATGTATTATGATATAAAAATATAACTTGCCAATATGTTCAGTATTGAAATGAAAATTGAAATGTATATGAGAAGTATTCTTGTATAAACTCTGATCTTGATGAGCTTGGAACTTCCAAAAAGTAATTCGTATCAATGATATAGAAATTATATCTCTCACAAACAGCTTATATGACTTTACTCGAATAAATTCATTTCGGATATCAAATCCTCATCAGTAACCTGAAGTCCAGTTATTCTTTCAGCCATTCTTCATGATATACACAATTTTCATCTCCCTATAATATAACTGAAATTATAACGAACTGACATCTGAGAATTATGATTTGTTGACATACTCCTGTCATCTGGGCATTTGTTTTTGGATGTATGATGAATTGATATTCGTCCTGTATGATGAATATAAATTGATCATTCATTCAAAAATATCTTGTTCAAAATTCGTGTGTGTTTTTATGTTCATTAATAATAATAATAATAATAATAATAATAATAATAATAATAGAGGTCTTTATTAATCACGATTCGACAAATAATAATGAATAATATAAAAGATAGGGCGAGGTTCAATTCATTCTAGAATCCTGAAAGGGGTCTAGAATGTCTGTTCTTCCTATATTGATTGCGAAAGGTGAAAATTTGTTGTGGCTTAGGTGAAACTGGGCGACTACTACTACTACGGCCTCGGCACGCCCGTCGACTTCGAAATGGCCGCCACGCACTACCGGCTGGCCTCCGACCAGCAGCACAACGCGCAGGCCATGTTCAACCTGGGCTACATGCACGAGCGGGGCCTCGGCATGGAGCAGGACATGCACCTGGCCAAAAGGCTATACGACCGCGCGGCGGACACCAGCTCGGATGCCAAGGTGCCGGTGGCGTTAGCTCTGCTCAAGCTGAACGTGCTGTTCGGCGTCGAGAGCATTCACGAGGTGAGTGGTTCTGACCTCGGACTGAATAACTTTAGATTCATTCAGTAAAATCAGAATTATCTTTAATATTCACTAAATTAATTAATTTTTCATTTACGTCAGGAGATGTACCAGATAAAATGAAAATTACCAAAGTCAGACCAGTCCACAAAACTTGTCAGAGAGATAAAATGGAGAACTACAGACCTATTTCAATATAACCAGTTATTTCTAAAATTATGGAAAAAGTAATGAATTACCGATTGCAAGAATATCTAGAGGCAAAGAAATATCTTTACAGCCATCAATATGGCTTTCGGGGGTCATGTGATACGGAGTCTGCAGTTATGGATGTTGTAACAGATTTCCAATTGCAACTAGATCCATCAAGATATGTGGACTCCCATCAATTGACTCAAGGAAGGCATTTAATACTGTAAATCATGAAATTCTCTTGAATGAATTGTATTGTATTGGTCTAAGAGGTCCTGTCTACCACTAGATGCAAAATTATTTAAGTGATAGGAGACAATTCGTATATTTAAGAGAATCATTCAGTAAGAGCGATGAAATAGTATGCGGTGTACCGCAAGGATCAGTATTGGGTCCTATTTAATTTCTTATTTATATCAACTATATTGCACATTTGAAGTTGAAAGGTAAAGCCTCTCAAAACTCTCCAAAATGAAATTATCAAATGTATATACAGACTAAATTATTTGGAACCTACAATGAACCTTTACAGAAGAAGAGAGTTATTGGATATAGATTCACTAAATAAATTCAAATTAATGTCGTTCATTCATTCAGTTAAACATTGTCAAAAGCATTCAAATTCAGTTTTCCAAATTAATAGTAATCACCACAACCATACAACTAGGCAAGCAGATCATTCAACCTAACAGCTGAGTCAATTGAGAATCATTTTCAGTTGATCAAAAGATTTTTTCTTGAGTGTGAGTTGCATTTTACTGTCATCTTCATTTTATTTTGTCAAATATATTTATATATTCACCATGTTCCCTGCTATAAACAAATGTTGTTTCTTGGGAATAATAAAGTTGATTGATTGATTGAAATCATTGGAAAGTATACACCGACAATCCCAAAAGCCAAACACGGATAAATGAATGAAATCGCGAATGGTGGTGATAACTCTGTGGAATCATTACCAGGAAATCGATATATTTAATAGATATATTTTTAATATCTGATGAACCGGATTTTGTATAAACGCGTGTATTTCTATCAATAATTAAACACTCATGTATTATTAACATATTAGTACATGTTCTTCAGAAAGGCACCTTATTGAATCTACTGGAGATTTTTCAAATAAATTCTATTATGAACAAAAGTTCTGTCACATCCCTTCATGAACAAATAAATTATGACTGTATAACATTTTTCAATTCACCAAAACCTAGATTTAGCTTCATGTTGTTTTGTACCTGCCTTGGTCTCCTCATTTTCAGCAAGGCTGATCTTCCACTTATGCCATTGTTTATAAATTTATATCCGTGTTTGTAACCTTACCTTCTGGGACTTGACAATTGGTTCTATAAGTGTTCGTTCTTAGGCACGGGGCCCTTCATTTTTAATAAAAACCCGTTCATTCTCAACCCCTCTTTTTACCAATATAACCACCATATTAAGATGATAGACATCGGCATCTAATTTAAAATACTGTTTCACCTCCATGTAAGTCAAATTTTGTTTTTTTATAATATGTATATTTTCACGTGCTTGTAGTAACTTCTAAAGTCCGAAACACCTCCGAACGTCCAAACCACATTTATTCACAAAATAGTCTGCTTTACATATAATATTAAATGAGTTAGTGAAACACCAAAAACTAATCACACAACAGCCTGAAAATCATTAAAAGCAACAACAACAAATTACATTTCTTAAAACGATCATTGCTTTTCAACTAGGAAACTTTGCGGTGCCGCCATGTTTATCTTCAGTTATTTCAGATTCTTTATTTTGTTATGTACTTACCTTGAAAAAATTATTAATATTAATTTCTTTGTCATAAGCTATTTATGCTGAGTTGAATAAGATGTTTTATCCGATTTATTTGGCAACTGTTTTTCGCAGAAGAAATATGTAAAATAAATTACTCTTGTAACTAGTTACTCTGAGGTTCAGACTATTTGGCGTTATTCCTTTTTTGACCATTTTTGAAAAGTTTCAGATCCAAACGCGAGTTTATATTTTCAGCTGTTATACACAATACACTACTTGGGGACGGTTTATCAAATGCTTGACTGCCAATTGACTTAGAAAGATCGACATCAGGTCGAATTTTTTCCAGCATTTTTTCAATTGATTCGGCCGTTACTTGATGGAAATCCATAGTAAATGTGTGAAACTTGATGAATGGTAAGATGTCCACTAAATTCTTAATCACACGACATGTTTAGCTAACACAGTAGCTTCTTCAGGTGAAATAGTGGTACAATAAAGTGAACTTACAGTTAGGCAGTAAGTTCACTTTATTGTACCAGTATTTCACCTGAAGAAGCTACTGTGCTAGCGAAACATGTGTGATTTGGAATTTTGTAAAAATCTTATCGTTCCTGAAGTTTTATACATTTTATCCAGCAGTTAAACTGTCTAATAGATATCTGTTTCAACTGGCCAATATGGTAGATAACTGCAGGATAGCCCGTAATATACCACATTATTCATGTCTTGTTTTATGGAAAAGCATATTGAAACAAAAAGAGGGGGCAATTTCATTCCTGTAGAAAGAAATGTGTTGATCGAAATTCCATTATTGACAGTATCTTTCTGCATCCTGAATCTTCCATTTAAATCATGGTTATCCCATTTTCAAAATTATCCACTTTTTTTTATTGAATAAGGACTTCGTTCATATTGAAGAATTCCACGATATCTATGTCCTCATCGCTATCCAACACGTAATTGCCCACAAAATCCTCATTATTATAAAATTCGAAATTAATCATAGACAAAAACTTTGTGTACAGAATTTTCATTGTTCGGTGGAAACCATGTGAAAACAACAACCAACCAGATTCATTACATGCATTCATCACTATTGCCAACATTCCTTGGATGACAGTCAATTAACTAGTAGATTAAGATTTGAAGAAAGAACAATCTAGAACTTGATCTGCAGGCTACTATTATCTGACTGATAACTAATTGGTGGATAAAATTGACAATTGAAAAACCGGCCCTCAGACTAAGTTTGAAGGCTGTCATTGTTTTTGATCTGAAATGATGCGAATTACTGCCTATGTGTCTTTCTCATTCAGTGGAAAAGGCGGACTTATAGGTGTGATGTATATTGGAGCGGAATAAAAGATCGGATTCGTATTACGATATACTCGAGAATTGACCTAAACACTGGCTATTTACTTAGTTCACGTGGTGAGATGACGTAGACGCTGAGAAAGATGACATAGAATATGATTTGACGTCATAGGTTGATGGAGTGATGGTGAATACTGTTCTGACTAAAATTAGTAACTTAGTAATTAGTAACCGGAAAATAAAATGCTTCGTGATATTGACACTTCTTTTTGAGGTTATAGTTTCATTTTCCCATTCACATTGTATTGGGATGCGAAATTCATAATATTATATGACGAATCAGAGACGTCTTTCAGAGACGAATATTACTAATCATCTAGAAATGTGATTATCGACAGTGACATCCTGATGCATAATAATCCTTATCTGAAGCATTTGATTGTGTAAACATAGAATTTAAATGGTGCGGTATGTTCAATGCTTTTGCAAAGAGTGGACTGTATTTATGATTGTCTGATATGATATGATGATATTATGAAGATTGATATTGATATTAGAAATTGTAATTTCTTTATGATTTTATTGATAAATCATATTTTTCAACAAATCGTCGCCATGCTAACAACAAATGAATATCTCATCCTAAATAAGTATATATAGGGTAATACAAGTACCAAACTGATATATAGGCTGTCTTAAAAGTACACACTAAACACGGTATTTAATCTTGTTATATTACATGATGTTGGCAAACATTCTCATTCTACTCTTGCCACTAGGCGGCACTAGAGCTGGCTGGATTATCTATTAAAATCAACATTAGTCTGGAATCTGGATATCTCAATAAGCTTAGGCCTTAGGAAAGTGTATCCCACCGATTGTCCTCTTGTTTGATTCATGTCTCACATAATGAAGATAATACAGGGTGTTTCATAGGTAAAGGGAAATATTTCAATGGTAGATAGGGGTCACCAAGGTGGTTCTGAAAATACCATATTTGATAGGCCTTAGAGTCTTCATAACGGAGATACAGGGCGATTTATCGATTTCGAATAATTATTCATTCGTCTATAAGTATTGAACTACCCAGTATATTTTTCTAAAATTTGGTATGGAGCTAATACTTGGGACGTTGAATTCATTCACCCATCGGGTGAAGTGAAAATCCAGGTTCGGCTTCAGGAAAAATTTACATTTATTCGAAATATTAAAATAACACACTGTATGTAATAATTGACAGAGTTCATCAAAGGAATCGTGAAAAGGAGAAAAAACTGAACTGGATTTGATGCTTTTTGTTTTCCCGCCACCAATTCTCATCGTAACAATCATAAACAGAAAGCTAAAAGTATGTCAATTTGAAGAGTATTGAAATTATGAAACCACTTTCAATTATGATTATTTGATATATTCTTGATAAATGATCTTTCGAAAGAACTTACTCAGTCTCATAGTCTTTATAACAGAGATACAAGGTGAATTATCGGTTTCGAATAATTATTCACTCGTCCATATAAGTATTAGACTACCCATCGCAGTAATATTTTCTCAAATTTGGTATTGAGCTTACTTGGGACGATGGACTCATTGACCTATCAGGCAGAATGGAAATACAGGTCCAGCTTCAGGAAAAGTCTCATAGTCTTTATAACAGAGATACAAGGTGAATTATCGAATTATAATTATTTGGTATTATTTCCATTCCGCCTGATAGGTTGATGAATCCATCGTACCAAGTAAGCTAGGTACCTACCAAATTCAAGATAATGTTACTGGGTAGTTTATGACGTATGGGGACTGTTTCATAATTCCAATACTCTTCAAATTGACATACTTTCAACTTTCTGTTTATGATTGTTACGATGAGGATTGGTGGCGGGAAAACAAAAAGCATCATACACAATTCAGTTTTTCCTCCTCTTCACAATTCTTTTGATGTACTGTGTTAATTATTGAATACAGTGTGTTATTTTAATATTTCGAATAAATGTAAATTTTTCCTGAAGCCGAACCTGGATTTTCACTCCGCCCGATAGGTGAATAAATTTAACGTCCCAAGTATAAGCTCCTTACCAAATTTGAGAAAAATATACTGGGTAGGTCAATACATATAGACGAATGAATAATTATTCGAAATCGATAAATCGCCCTGTATCTCCGTTATGAAGACTCTAAGACCTATCAAAAATGGTATTTTCAGAACCACCTTGGTGACCCCTATCTACCATTGAAATATTTCCCTTTAATTATGAAACACCCTGTATATGCTCTGCAATGGTGTATTCAATTTATTTCAACATTTCAATAGTTAATTTATAGACGCCTCAGCGATTTGTCTGTTTTGAATCATGACCTTTCTTCTTCTTGAGGAGTTGTAGTTATGATATAATGAAAAATCTTTTATTATTTGGTCAACATTTTGGTGAATCAGTAGCTGGGACTTTTCAGAACTCCGTTCTTGTTATATTAATCTCTGTGTATTTGTATAAAAAAAGTTGCACGTATTATTTTGCAGTGTTGAGTGATATATGACAAATATATGCAGGATACCATCTCCTTTGTTCAGTTGGGTGTTGAATATAAAATGCTCTCGCTGTTTGAAGTATATTTCTTTCAAGTAGCTAATTCATTATTCCATTTGAAATAAAATTGACCCACATCAGAAATGAAAACATTTTTTAATGTTTTATGCATGTTTTGGTTAACAGTTCACTTACAATTTACGTATTACCTACTTGACTGTAACCAATAATTTTCATAGTTTTTGTTACAGAGTCCACTTTATAGCCTTTTGGACATTCATGATACATTGGGCTCAAACTGGGACCTTTATTTGATAACCACACTCATAGCAGTGTTGGCTGGTATTGTATACTTCAGAAGACCTCAGGTCGTAGCATAGTAAGTTTAAAACTTCAACACTGATTCATTGAGTGATATTTATTTATTTTGTAAATACTGATATTGATTATAATGTGTAAAATGTTTGTTTCATTCCTTGGTTCGATTTACAAATCAATTATGATGTACCTGGTGTATTTTTATGTTTTGACTCCAATACAAGGTGATTTTCAAATACCTAAGTGAAATAAATTGAACACTCAACATTATCTTATGAATAGTCGCAGAATACGAGCCTTCTAATTACCGAAACATTAAATAACTGAACTTGTAAGGATATAATGACCAAATTTTATTTCCATCCCCTATATTTGTAATGGTGCCATTAGGCAGTATACCTTGAGTTTCCTTAGGGTTTGAATTATGTGTATCTATCCTAATATTATCCTGTATAAAGGATTTCAATTTTTTTGGCATTTATGGGAAATACGGAAGTTAATAGCAGTTTTGTTCGACCCGAAAATTGAGTTTATTTTTGAGCTGATATGTCTAAATGTATCTGTTGTCATATGTGATTTTGATAATTCGATTTCATGAACTAATGATATTTTCATCTAGTTCCTGGGTCACCCTGTATAATGAATAATAACTGTGTGTTCAGGGTCTTTTCGTGCTGAAGGGTTTGTACACTGTGAAAGTAAGAGGGTGCATGAAACAAGAGGTAAAAATATTAACTTTATTAGGTTTTACATAAAATATTATTTATATTATACAATAAATTAAACTTGACAAGTCGCCTAAATAAATGGAATTTTATTGACTACTAATTTCAATTCAGAAAAATCTCCAACTAATAGTCATCATTCAAAGTTCACATGCAAAAGTATCATATCTTTTTAATATCAGCTGACATCTTATAATACTAGGCACTTTAAAAATAAAGGACCAATACATAAAATGTCGAATCTTGCATGCAAACTCATATCCTTCTTCCCACTGAATCAGTATCATTCCAAATGATTCAGGCGGGAACTGTCTCAACTAATTTTTGTCAAACACACAAAAAGTATTTTAATAGTAGGTATAAGAAGTATTTATCAAAATAGAAAGAACTGGCCTATAGAATAATGGGTATAATGGTTTGGTTGAAACATTTTTTCCAAAGAGGAATAGTTATTGAATTCAAAATTATGCAAAGAAAACTCTAGATCAATTAACGATAGTCATTATTTATTGTTTAATATTGCTTGTGATAAACATTATTAGGGTATAGTGTATCCAAAGTCAATTGGAGGCATTGGAGCATCTCCCGCACCGCATATGATATGCTTTAAAATAATTTTGTTCATGCCTAACTGTCACTCCTTGTCAAATGTCCGTACAAATTTTAAAAAAATCCGTCAAGGTGATGTAATGAATAGTAGTGTGAAATTCCCCTCTTGCGCACATGACATAACGAGAAGGAAGCTGAGATCCGCCCACCTACAATACAACACGTCTCTAACGTGCACCTATAAGCTCTTCGTACTTGCCCAATAAAACATTGTATCATGTTTTTGTAGTCGAAAACATCCGGCCTATTTTGATAAACCTCTAAACAACTTTTCGTCGTATGCGCTGAATCAGGTAACAGTCTTCGGGAGTCGCCCTTACAGATCGGATTTCGTTTTCCTTCTCACGTACTTGTTGAAGTAGTCCGGGCGCCAGCACTTGCACGATCCGGGAATCAGGAACCAGTCGTAGTAGAGCCGCACTTGGAAGCACCCCAAAGAGTCCACCCCGTCGCACTGGGGCGGCCTTTGGGTGCTCGACGGGTCGACGACCGATGCCTGGAGGCCAGACCGCTTTTGGAGGTATTGCTGGTAATTCTACAATAAAAAAATACAGTGATACAGGTTCTAGTCCACGGGACAGGATCTCCTTTTCAAAGATATCACCAATCGGTGATAATAGTTGCGTTTGTTTCCTGTCAAACCGGTTGGAGAATATTCGGGTCACCAAACAAACGCCAAATATCGATGAATGACATTGTGTCAGCCCAACTTGACCGTAAACTGTCATTCCGATCATTCTGTCCATATCGATGGAATGAAAAGTGGCAACCGGAAAGGAATGTTGTGTGCAATCAAACGACAGGAATGACGAAACCGGTAGCGGTTTGATATGAAACAAACGCAACTATTAGGAGGAGAGCCGGCTACAAAGGACCCCGCACCGCATCAATGGGAAATTGGCTTTCGGTGAATTTACTCGTATTTTTGAAATTTTGTAGAACTCGTGGTGCTGATCAAATATCTCCATTGCACCAACGCTCTAAAATCAACAGTTGAGATTATATAGGGTGATAAAGTTGGCATTTCCAAAATTTTAGGTAGAAATTGTGAAGACACCTTTCATAATTTCAAAACCAAATCAACTGTGCATTGATTGTTCGAATTAGCGATACGAATCTACTATGAAGTATAATAATTCCTGCATGTACTAACAATATACAAGGTGGGTCGGAACATAACTAATATTTCAGTGGTTTCCGGAAAAGTGGGCGGTGGAATTTCATTCAAATTCTGTAGTATACAATTCTGATCGTGATATTAGCATCTCCTAATCAGACATATTATATACAAGATGTTTTATTCTTGATAAAGTCACATCCATTTTAGGAACTTATTATTGGCATCCTCATTATGACTCACAACTTGAACAACTTATTGGGAAACTCGTTCATTCCATATTGAATGTCAACTCTGCAAATACGTGGAATATAGGGAGTGGATGAAAAATCAATGGTCTTTGCTAATAACTTCTCTAGAATAGTATGTACAGATTCTTGTAATCCATTTAATTGAAATCAATCATTGATAATAAACAGTTCACTACTTTTATTTTTCTTTCAGGGTTGAGGTATTCTCGAATTGAGTATGACGAGTTGTAGTCTGGAAACTGTTCAATAAGTTAATTCAATTACTTTATTACGAAAAACGAAATCGTTTTATGAAATATTGATCCAGGAAATATAAATGCTTGTCATAACAAGTAAGTAATACACTATGTAAGGTACAGAACTTCTGTTCTGATATATTCATTGTTGTTTTTGAATATATGATAAATTGAATTGAATGCGAGATCTCAATATATTTCTTCATGAATGTATCCATTTTTTTATGTTCATAATATCAATTCATTGGTCTCGTTTCCTGTTGTTGATTGTTTCACTATCACCTGAAAAGCCTTTTATGATAACTGCAGTACCTTCTCACATATTATTCAAAATATACTTCATCGAATGGTTCATATTATTTTTATTGAATATGATGTCGTTATGAAACAGGGTCCATAAAATGGGTCACAAGAATCTGTACATACTATTCTTGAGAAGTTATTTGCAAAGACCATTGATTTTTTATCCACTCCGTATATTTCACGTATCTGCAGAGTGGACATTCATCATGGAATGAACGAGTTTCCCAATAGGTTGTTCAAGTTGTAAGTCATAATAAGGATGTCAGTAATAAGTACCTAACATGAATGTGACTTTATCAAAAATAAAACATCTTGTATATAAGAGGTCTGATTAGGAGATGCTAATATCACGAATTGGGGATGATATTTGTATACTACAGAATTTAAATGAAATTCCACCGCCCACTATTCCGAAAACCACTGAATTATTCGCTATGCTCCGACCCACCCTGTATATTGTTAGTACGTGCAGGAATTATTATACTTCATAGTAGATTCGTATTGGTCATTTGAACAATCAATGCACAGTTGATTTGGTTTTGAAATTATGAAAGGTGTCTTCACAATTTCTATCTAAAATTTTGGAAAAGTCAACTTTATCACCCTATATAATCTTAACTGTTGATTTTAGAGTGTTAGTGCAATGGAGACATTTGATCAGCAACACGAGTTCTACAATATATCAAAAATTGGAGTAAATTCACCGAAAGCCAATTTCCCATTGATGCGGTGCGGGGTCCTTTCGACAATCATCTGATAACGAAATGCAAAGATAATACATACACTATAGACGGAGAGCCGGGTCGGATTATATACCTTGAACCTCCGGACGATTCTTGAGTGTTCTACAGGGTTGGTCATGAAAACATATACACAAAACGCCAACTGTGCCGGAGCAAATCTTGCCTGGTGCGTTTTTTTCAATATCTACCTTTTGCTCCCAGACACATAAAAAATCACTAGATGTGCATTTCAATGAGTATAACCAGGAAAACTCACTGTGCCGCGTCCGATCCTGCCGAATCACATGGCACAGTGGCGCGTTTACTACCTTTTCGCCCCGGACAAAAAAACCATAGAAAAAAATTATAGATAAGGACCGGATGAACACAAAAAAACAATCAGTGCCGGATTTAGGGGGCCGAGGGCTATGGGACTATCAGCCCCCGGCGGTGAATTTTAAGAGGTGGTAAGGAAAAAGATGAAAAGCAAGCAGCAATATACTCGTTGCCACACTATTCAAAAACCAAGTGATTTCGGAAAGGCATGCACCCTTTCTATAATCTCAACTGAAGGAAACAAAGGAAGTAAGATTGTCTGAACAGTTGTTCTTACATATTCTCCAGAAAGACACATATATGAAGAATTAAAAAATACCTAATGATTAACTAATCAATATTGTGATATTGAACTTGAATTTATTTCGGCAATTTATCGAAATTTTACATAAGTAAGTAGCTAAAATCAGAGACATCGGATGTTGGTTGTTTAATTATTTACTTTTTGTACCAGTAATTGCGGATAATACCGCGAGTTGATGAACGAAATGATTTATGTGGAAATATTCCGGTTTACTCAAGTACAAAGAGTTTTATTTCTCAAACTTAACCGCTTAATTTTATTGCAGGATGAACTTTTCAGGTTTATATCTATCATAGGTAGGTACTGTATAATACGTATAATATGTGCCACAGGGCTCACAACGCGAGGTTGTCGCAGAAAAAAATCAATCAAAAATCATTTTTTCATGCTCCCGGGCCCTAGGCGTCCGCCTAATGGTTGAAACAGCGCTAAATTATCTACTTCTTGTTGTTGATAATACCGAGCGTTTTGATGAAAGATTCGATTTATGAGGAAAAATATCGGCTAACTCGATTACATATGCTCAGTGAAATAAAAAATTGTTTCTAACACTTGCTGATTCGCCCTACTGTGCCGGGGCTAGTCCTTATCTATAATTCGAAGCCCTGAGGGGGCAGAAGGACGATCTAGCCTTCATAGCCATCTAGTGGCCTAAGTGCAAAGGTGTATGGTAGATTCATCAATCATACCTTGCGAGTAAGTCGTGCATATAGACCTACGTCTATATGCTTACAAGAAAGACACCCATGTCAGATTCTGTAGACTATCGCAACACCTGTAATTCTCAAAGTGGTTTAATGTTCCACTAACAGATGGTGATGAACTTAGAATCCCTTAGTCTTGAGATTCTAGGTTTATCACCATCTGTTAGTGGAACATTAAACTACTTTGAGAATTACAGGTGTTGCGATAGTCTACAGAATCTGACATGGATGTCTTTTCTGTAAGCATATAGACGTACGGGTCTATATGCACGACTTACTCGCAAGGTATGATTGATGAATCTACCATACACCTTTGCACTTAAGCCACTAGATGGCTATGAAGGCTAGATCGTCCTTCTGCCCCCTCAGGGCTTCGACTTGTTTGATATATGGAGGTACCCTTCGTGAATCGATTGTCAGCTGGCCAGTGCAACTGATGAGACTTATGGCAAATCGAAACAGTCTGTCTTGCATCAGCTGACAATCGATTCACGAAATTTCCCTAGAATCCCTTAGTCTTGAGATTCTAGGTTTATCTTATCTATAATGTAACGAAATATAATTCGTTACTCGCTTTCAGGTTATTCATAATGAATATCAATAAAAGTTGTTAATAGATCACAGCAATTTGATACTGGCAGCGACATCTGTTGGAAATATCACGAACATTAGACAACAGCACTTCCAGTTCCCTTCGTTCAATTACGATGATGGTAATTAGAGTCCTAGAACTGGATCACTAGCTAAGGTGTAGGAACCTGCGCGTACACAATTCAACAAGTGTATTTACAGACATGTCCGTTGGCCAATCGAATGATTGATAGAAGTCACGTGATAACGAATTTGCTTGAAGCGAAGGTGAAACGAAAATTCTCTCTCTTCCCTTTGACCTTTCGAACAAAGAACAACTCGACGTTGACCTTTTCGATTTTTGTCGATTCTCCCGTAGAAAAATTTTGGAAGCTCGAGTTTTTCAACGTTTGTGACATCAGAGTGATTTGAGGTAGGCACAATTTTGATTTTTGATTGTTTCGAAGATTGCAGATTTAATTTTGTTGAATTTCTTGTAGTGAGCATTTTGATCAGAAAATGGCCGTGTCTAATCACACGCAGTAGACTGTTTGGATAGCAAATTTTCTTTTCTTTGGCTGAATAGCTTATTTGAAATATCGCTTGATAAGATATTTTACAGCTTGGTAAAATAGCTGTTGCATTGCTCTCCTTCAATACTCACTCACTTGATTAGTATCGAAAGTTGAGTGTGTGTCAGAGCACGTGATCACCCAGGATTCCTTTGAGTGGAAAACTTTCTGTGTTTTTTTATTCTTTCAGTTTGGCTGTCGCTAAGGAAATCATAGTCGTGAAGACTGCATAAGTATAAATCAATTCCTGGTGAAAATTTGGAGAAACACAGGAAGGATTGTGAATTTTGGCTCAAGGAGGAGAAACACATGCGCAGGTGAGTAAACAGTGTGCATTTTGAATCTAGATATTAAATCTGTTAGTGTCAACTGTTGCTCACGTGCGCATCTTTTGTTTTTCTTGGATGAGAGATTCACAATTCTTATCCACCTGAGTGAATTAATATCATTGATCCATTTGCTATTTAAACAGAGTGAATATTGCTCAATCTCATATAAAAAAATTTGGAATTTGAAGGTTGTGCCTACCTTCACTCAAAACCCATTTTTTTTCCTCTTTCCTCTTTCCTTCTTCTCAGGAAATATCTTGATCTATTGTGGCAATTATAAAATTCAAAGTTCTTATTCGTGCAAGTGGCCAATTGCACGAAGTGTGATAATTCAGCAATTATTTTCTTATGTCAAATATTACATAGATATTACCTTGATAATTTCAATTTTATCTTAAGATCATACTATCTGTATGTGTATATGTATTACCAAGATAGAAACACAGATTTTTGAATCAATTTTATTGTTTTCTGGTTATCTGGTATCTTTTTGATAATTCTGGTAATCCTGTATTATTTTTTTGATAAACTTGATTTTCAATATTTTGTCATTGTAAAACTTTAGCATTGACCTTCAGTTTTTTTTAAATACTAGACTTTAACATTATTTTTTTTTTTGATAAACTTGCTTTTCAATATTTTGTCATTGTAAAACTTCAGTTTTTTTTATATACTAGACTTCAACATTTGTGTTTTGTAGCCCTCAGCTTCAAGACATGTTTCACTAGGAACCATCAGCGGTTCACCCTCCTTGAAAATTTACTGATTCTCGTTAACTTTCATTCTATGTCGACACACGAGTGATCAATCAAGAAGCTCAATACGACCAGTACAACACGAGTCGTTGAAGATCACCTAGATTTCCCATATCTCAGTGCTGAGATTGTAGACCTGCAAAGAGCCGAGGAGCTCGCCTCTAGAAATCATCCGAGCTGTCACCTGCCATCTTCGACCTCGTAAATTGTGGAACTGCATTAGAGCTGAGCAGCATTCGTTTAGATCTATCTACAGAGGCTGGTTGTACTAACTGGGAATCTAGGACACATCCGCAAGTATCGTGTTATGGTCTGAGTTAACAATATTGATCAGAACTCGTAAAAGTTGAGAACAGTAAATATATTGTAAATCATTTTTGGCATTGTGAATTTCACACTTTTCATTGTTGTCAATAGATGTTTATTTGAAAATTTTGTTTTTATTGCTTCTACTAACAGGAAGAGAGTTCTTGAGATAAAAGTTTATGAATTGAGTATTTACCTATTTCTTGACTTCTAGTTTTTTTTGCTTGTTTTTTTTTATCATTCCTAAATAAAATAAGCTGGCGCCCATTCCACTTAACACAATTAATATTCCATCCTGATAGCACAAAAATCACCTACAGGAGGATAGTCCAAAGAATTCACCCCTCAGGAATCTCATTGTTCACAAAATTTAAAGAGCTAAGGGCGTTTTGAACATTTTTCATTACAATAATTATTGTCAATGGTTTTTTTGTCCGGGGCGAGAAGGTAGTTAACGCGTTTTTGCTACCCCTTGTAGCGCCACTGTGCCATGGGTTTCGGCAGGATCTGACGCGGCACAGTGAGTTTTCCTGGTTGTACTCATTGAAATTCACATCTAGTGATGTTTTCATGTGTCCGGGAGAAAAAGGTAGATATCGAAAAAATGCACCTGGTTGTTAGTCAATAATAAATACTTTCGGCAAGATTTGCTCCGGCAAAGTTAGCGTTTTGTGGATATGTTTTCATGACCAACCCTGTAGAAAACTTGAGAATCGTCCGGGGGTTCAAGGTATATAAACCGACCCGGCTCTTGGACGTCTGTATCGCTACTGCACGACCTGACCAACAGACAATTAAATCAAGACCCGCGCTTCGGAAGAATAAAGTACAGGCGCCCAATCCATCAAATATAAGATAAAAGAACGGAATTAAATCAATATCAATAAAAGTTGCATAATAATCATCATATAATTAAACAAAAGAGTCTCTCCTTTGATACCCTATAAAAAGTTAACCAATAATAATAAGACATAAACTCAATTTTGCTTCCCATTAGGGTAGGAAACCACCACGCAAAGTCAGAGAGGCTAGGAAACACACATTAGACAAAAAGGTTTAAAAGTCGGAAGACTGAAACCAAGTAAGGGGTTTTATAAAACATATGCAGATTGCCAAATGTATAAGGTTGAAGTCCACTCGTTAGTGAGTGGGGGTGGATGGACATGGGGATGAGGAGCTATCATATAACGTAAGCTAGTTATATGGCGGCACTTGATCCTGGGCATTCAACCTTTCGAGGGGCGTGGTGGTGGACGTCTGTGTGAAAATTGGCAACGCTCCGATCGGATCTAACAGACCGGCGGCTAATCGGCTGTGCTGATTCGTTGACAAAATATTAATATCGGAGTCGGTGAAATACACAGCGTTGCCTATTCTTACATTTACGGTGCCTATCTAGGGTTTTTATCATCTTTGCGAAATGTTATACAGAGAAGGGCACAAAAAACGGCCAGCGCTGTAACTTCTCAATCATTCGAGATCGAATTTTGAAAATTGGTGGGTAGCAAGTATACCAAATTGCTTTTTGATGATTGAGAAGATACAGCATTGGCCGTTTTTTGTGCACTTTTCTGTATGTTCCAACGGCATGTAAATACATTGCCAATCACTATCCTGAGCACTTGGCACTAAAAATTTAGATCAGTTTGAATCGTGGCACGTTTGGATATTCGCAAAGGGGACATTATTCCCTTTTATTTGCTTCTTGTTTCAACGTGTTATCATGAGACGGAAGTATATCCGGAATAATGGAAACAAATAAATCGCTGTGCCGTGGATTTGACTCGGATTAAAGGGTTTTTGAGATCTACCATTCAGTTGGTATCGGATAGCATTATTCTTATTTCGTTATCCAATCGCGAAATTAATTAAGTGCAAATGACCGCACGGGGAAGTGCCAGTTTTCATTTTGCTCAGGATAGTTATTGGCACAGGTGCAGGATAAAATACCATGTTTTTACATGCCTTTGGGACACTCACATCAAAGAATAATTATATAGAACCGTGTTAGGAGCGTCGTTGCCCCACCTACTCGAGTAGCAAAAGATAATCCCTGCGATCGAAAAATGGACTCGCTCGAGGAGGGGTTAACATGCCCATGCACACGGTTTCTTTATATTATTAAAAATTATTCTTGTCAGACGTGTATATCATTTCGTTATGACGGTCTCTTGGACTATTAGCTTCCTTTTGACGAGTCTACCAGCGATTTTATTCACAAAGGTTCTTGGAAAAGGGACGATTAATCAATATACAGATTAATTATTGAATCGTTACATATGAGTATTAAGAAATAATGGCATTTGGCAACATGGCCAGTTACGGAGAATAGCGGTTGTTTCCCCTGGGTGGCCAATGTTGCCAGGTCTACCGTTTTACACTAGATCTACCGTTTTTATGGTATAAACTAATTTAATTTTGATTTCATTTATTTATATAAATAATATAATATTCAAATATTACAATTTATTGATGGCGTGCGGCAATATCTCTATTACAGTAACCACACTTGAAGTTCCATCGCCGACTACGTATTACGGTTTGAATGCTTGGCTTCGGTGGGTGAATTCCATAAGAAAGATAATCGGTTATCGTTAAATACCCAAGATTCATGGCTACCATACAATTTTACTGATTTGTCGAAGTTATCTTTTTTAAAGCATCATGATTTTATCAGAGTTCATCAAGACTGACGTTTATTTACTTTTTTACTTCTGTTATGAATTAATTATAATAATTATGAAACCAGTAAACCGCTGATAGTTGGCAGAAACTGCGATTTAAAAGCTACAACTGTCGTTTTATTGTCAAATCTACCGCTCTTTCATGTGAATTCTACCGCTTATTATCTCATTCTTGACCTGGCATCTCTGGCGGAGAAGTTCGATAGCCAACCAAATCAGTATTTCTTGCAATGCTGCTATTAACATGCCCTACATGCGTACGTAGGAAGGGTAGCTTTGCCGTCCTATAGACAAACTTGTTAAAGATTAGTTGGATATATCTCTAGGTTGACGACGAAGTGACGTGCTGATTGGGCTTGTCGAGATCGTCTGACTGGTATTGCTAGGGATGAAATGATAGCAGAGATTTCTGAGGAACATTTCACGTGAGAAGTATATATAGAAAAGTGAAAGGTCGCCGACCTGTCTATTTGTGAGTGTGGCATCACTCACCAGGCGGAAGGCACTTCTCTGGATGGAATCTAAGAGCATTAGCGTTTTTGCTATAAGGATAAACACCGATGATGGTGAGCACACTGCCCCGAATCGAACATTTTCCGAATCCCCTGGTGTTTCAACCAGGAGATTATTTCAATGGGTTGACTAATGCTTCTCCTTTTTGTTTCTTTTGGCCTTTCTTATGATGAAATTAAGCTCAAGTTTGTCACAATGGTGGGTTAAACATTTCGTATAGTGAGGTTGGCTACAAAGGTGTCGAATGTCAAATGAGAATAAAGTCTGTGCCACTGACAAATTCACTGTATTTCTTCAAAATCAAAAACTTGAATTATTAGAAATATGAGCAAGACAACCCCTAGGATCATTCGTTTTTCAAATTAATCATAACAGGCATTGACAAGACAGAGCATTCGGCAAATGTCAGTTAATTCGACAGAAACTGTTGCCAACAAATGGCACAAAAATTACTAACCCTTTCCAAGTCACTCATTACATTTACTACAAACATTTACGCTATATGGTCTGTTCATCTTTCGTCTATTTGATTGAAAATTAATTACCTGAAAATCTTGAACTGATGGTGGCTGAGACACTGTGATCGGACTTCTCTGGGCATTATTCAAGTCGCTGCTACTCAATACCGTATCAGGATAGTAAATTTCAGCTACCAGTAGACTCGACCATCTTGGCGATGATAAACAACCACCATCTAAGTAGTGGCATCTTGATTGTAAACACCTGAAAATATTAGGAAAATAATGTCAATTTTCAGTTCCTAAAACTCTGAGGTCAAGTTGATCGTTAAGTAAAATGTTATAATTCTTGAGTTTGATGAATTTCAATGTAGATTTCCGAAATGAAGGATTAGCTAGACTTCTCACAGGTGATTTTAATCTTTTATTCCTCTTGTTAGGTCATTGTCATTCTAAATGAAACTTTGAAATCCAAAGTTGAGGTCGTTTCGGATTAGACCGGAAGTCATTTGTGGTTTCGGTCAGCAGACCCTGAGGTCTCAGGAAAACAGCTAACGTCACAAATGTGCGGCTGGCTTCTGTTGGTTGACTCCGTTTATTTGTTGTTTCGTTTTCTACCAAGTGCTGCCCACCCTTTGCACTTCTTTCACCGTATTGGTGAGGGCCGAAAGCCCGAAACACGTGTATACGGTTATCTCTTTGTGAGGGCTATGTCCAATGATATCTTTCCTAGTCACTTTACAGTTCCCTCGATATCACTTTCATCTTACATCATTTTACTCTCGAAAACCAAACAAATTCACTCCGTTGCATCCACAACCTATATATCGTATATGCGTGCGAATGGCCGGAGGAAGACCTTTTGAACAGTGTTGCCAAACTGACTTCACCGCGGCTTTCCACTGACATGAACTACTATCTAGACCGCGAATGCCTTAAGAAAAAAGTAAATGCCACTTGCACGTGATCGAACTTGGTTTTCCGTGCGTATTCAGGTCCTCTAATATATATAACTTACTCTTACTTATCTCTCAAAACACCAAGAAACAAGACTCGCTGTCATGCATGATTGGGAGTTCCTGCGCATTGAGCGGAAACGTTTTCAGGCGAGATTTCGGATAAGATTTTCGGGTTGCTGGGATATGATATTCAGCGGTCTAAATAGTAGTAATGTCAGTGATTCTTTCTCGTGGACTATCACAAATTGCAACACACCTTGTAACTTCCAAAGTTTGCGTGAAGTACCCCTCGTACGGAATCTGCACCACGTATCTCCACACGCCCTGGTAGTTCTTCGCGAACACCGGCGTCACGTACTCGACCTTGGCGGGGCACGGAGTGGGCGGGCCTTCGTATCTCGTCGGCGACGTTGCCACGTCTTCGCGCCTCTCTAGCGGCATCTGCGAGGAAGGGACGCCGGCCGGCGATTCACCGTTGATGGCGTTGTACAACATGCAGAAGACGCCGCCTTGGTCGCAGAATTTGCGGGACTGTCTGGCGGAGGCGGCAACGTCGGAGGTGGCACCATCGGAGGTGGTGGTAGTGTGTCTTCTGATCCGGCTGCTTCGGTCGTTTTGCTGGAAGGAATCTAACCTGAAAGTATGCGGGTGAATGAAGGAAACTTAGACGATTACACTGTGATTCAGCTCTCGCTTCACTCACATACAGTGTGACCCATTTAAAATGGAACCACCCCTGTATCTTACGTAATCGGTGGGTAAGGATCCCGAAATTTGCTGGAGCGAGAGATATACCAAAAATGCACTCTATGCTGACCAAGTGGGGTCATCTTCAGTGATATACACTGCTCGCCAACAGCCATATGAAACCACCCCAATTTCCGGAAAATGATATTAGGAGTCAAAATAGGTTGAAAATCACGTGGATTCGGAATCAGGACGCCCAATTTACTAACTATTCAAAGTTTTCCAAGAAGATTTTCAGTTCAGTAAAATTAAAATTTGTCTCACTTCTCATGGAAGCACCCCCGTATCTCATGTAATTATTGAGGTAGGGTTCTGAAATTTGCCGGAGAAAGAGAAAGTCCAAAGATAAAGTCAATTACTTGAGATACGGGGGTGCTTCCATAAAAAATGAGACAAAATTTCATTTTTCCGAACTGAAAATTTTCCAGGAAAAATTTGAATAGTTAGTAAATTGGGCGTCCTGATTCCAAATCTGAAGTGATTTTCGACCTATTTTGACTCCTAATATCATTTTCCGGAAATTGGGGTAGATGACCCCACTTGGTCATAGAGTGCATTTTTGGTATATCTCTCGCTCCAGAAAATTTCAGGATCCTTACCCAACGATTACGTAAGATACAGGGGTGGTTCCATTTTTAATGGGTCACACTGTATAAGTGATCTGAACTGAAACAGTCATCAATAATTATGCGTTCGTTTTTTCAAACGACTTCATAAAAATACTGTCTGTAGGTTAATCAGATTATTTGCCCCAAAATGTCACTGCGTTTAACAATTGTTTCTATCAGGTAGCCTAACAGAAAATTCCAATAGCTTGTCAGTGACACTTTGTTTGGAAAAATATTTGAAGAGTATAGATATATTGAAAAAATATCGAATTATTTTTACTTACCTTTCGACGTATATGGATATAGATGAGTGATGATGTTAGAGTACAAATGAGTCACAGGATGTTTTCATTAATTGATCTTGAATCTAACTTTTTTATGTTCAGTTTTCAGTTGTGGATACCATGTTCTATCTATATCAACTGAACAGGAAGCAATGCTATTGTATCCGTTCAGAAGAATGCATGCGGATTCCTTGATTTTTCTCTTTTGGTTGTTATCTTCCTTTCCCTATGATTTTAATATTATTTCACTCGACCATATGTTGTCTATTTTCAGTAACAGGATATGTTCAGTTAGCTTTGATTTATCGATGTCTTTTCTTGATATTGTACTTCATCCTTATATACTGAGAGAGGTTTCTTCGTTTCACCGCTTGCATTCTTCAGAACGGAGAAAAAAGCATTGCTTCCTGTTCAGTTGATATAGAGAGAACATGACATTCACTGAAACTGAACAAGAAAATGATAGATTCAAGATCAATTAATGAAAATATCCTGTGTTTGTTAAAAGGTAAGGCCCCTGTCATTCCTTGCTCGCACAAGACTCTCGAAGACTTCTGAGGGTTGCTCGTAAGGGGGCAACCGAATGACGGATAGACCAATTTTAGAACAATTTTTTAAATCCTGTAACTCATTTGTATACTCATCATCACTCATCCATACGCCAACATCAGTATGTCACTGGGAAGTGTAAAACTATAAGAACATAATTTTCGAAGTAAAATATTTTGCATTTTCATGTTGAGAACGGGAGCAGATTCGTTCCCGAAACGTCCAAATAAGATAAGTGTGAATTCGATATTTTTTCAATATTTCTATATTTCTCCTCTCCGAACATTTTTCTAAACAAAGTGTCACTGACAAGCTATTGGATTATTCTTTTAGGCACACTGATGAAAGAAATTATTGAACGCAGTGACAGTTTGGGGCAAATCATCTCATTTTTTCATTTCATAAAAACGAGGAGAAAATCTCAATTAATTAATATCAAGTAAAACCACTTTATATAATTCGGTAGAATGTATGTTGACTGATTCAGTTTTCAAGTGAAATGAAATATTTCACTTGAGTTTCTTCAAAGCTGGGTTTGCTCAGTGAAAAAATGTTGTAACGGCATCCGTTTTCATGATACAAGGTGTTGAAAAAATAATTTTTTTTACACATTTTTCACGATTATATCGAAACTACTGGCAACATTGTAATGAAATTTTGTATGGATGTTTCTCTGACTCTTGAAATCTGACCCATCGCATGAATTTGGTTTTACTGACTCTCATAGAGGACATAACTTTTTTGAGGTTAGATATTTTTCAATCCAAATAATGATATGAACTTGAACATCATTCAATTTCACATCAAAAAGTTTATCTTGGTGAAACTCGATACTATGTTGCGTTTTTGGAATATTTCGATTTGAAAATAATGGAGTAGTAATGATGCTGGTATAAAATAAATTTTATTGAGTTCAATTACCTATTTATTCAGATTCGAAAACAATGAAATTATTCCTGTGCTGAAGTTATTGATGGAACAAAGAAGTAGAAAATTGAGAGATATTTGACTAGAAACATGAAATATTGAATCAGTTAGAGTAAGTTCAAAATGTCCTACGTTTGTACGAATACACGATTCTATATTCTTTTCTTAAGAATGTATTATTTTTCTAAACAGTTGAGGAGTTGAGGATCAGCTGTTAGGTCATTTAAGTAATGTTAAAATATGTCTTTCAACTCTTGACGTGAATTTACCTTTGTAGCATAGACTTTCTGCTCAAGATACAACAAAACTGTGTAATCCATGTTCTTAGTCAAATCTGTTTCGATGTTATTCTTGTGATTCATTGTTAAATCAATAAGTCTAGCATCAGAAATGTATTTTTGTTTTCGGTTTTCAATAAATAGGAAATAATTTTTCATTATACTCACTCTGATACATACTTATCTATTTATGCCAGCAACAGTTATCACTTCATCATTTTCAAATCGAAATATTCCGATAAAACTCGAGTTTTACCAAGAGTACTTTTTCGGTGTGAAATTGAATGATCTTCAAGTTAACATCAAATTTGGATTGAGAACTCTAACCTCGAAAAAGTTATGTTCCAAACTACTCGGTACGAACCGTGTAACTACCGCCCTATATGAGAGTCAGATATAAAAACAAATGCATGCGATGTGTCAGATTCCACGAAACATCCATTCAAAATTTCATCACAATGTTGCCAGTAGTTTCGACATAATCTTAACAAAATGTGTAAAAAAATAATTCTTTCAACACATTGTATCTTGATAACGGATGCCGTTACGAAATTTTTTTACTGAGTAAACCCAACTTATTTTGCAGTGTTCTATCTACCCTAGGAAGGGAGTCAGTTTTTTTTTAACACCCTGTATATCTCTGCCTCAACAGCTAACAACAGAATTACAAGCTGCAATATGGTGTACCGTTGCATACTGCGCAAACATTATTCTTCAGGAAATGGGAAGAAAAATCTTTTTATAGATAGGGAGATGATTTTTATACGATTAATTATTAATGTTTTAGTTTTTCCACAGACAGAAAAATATGATCTTGTAGGCAAGAGATCTGAAATAGTTCTTCGAGTGCTTTTTACGTTTATTTCGAACTAGCTGTCCAGCCTGGCTTCGCACCGTTGGTGTACCCATTTAAAAAAAATAAGACATTTGTTGCCAGTGGGGTAACGACACGGTGGCAAGTCGGCAATATTCCACATTTAGTAAAAAGAATTCTCGTTGTCTTTAATTTATTCAAGTTACCTACTCAGCTGATCAGATAATCAAAAAGCGCTTACAAATACCATTTTACTAAATCCCAATGAAGAAGAAGGTAGAAAACTACAATCTTATTATTATGTTGCTGGTTTTCCATTGCAGTCTTACAAACCATAGGCGCGGCAACTAAAGCACTTCAATCTAAAGCAATCAATCTTTCAAATGATTCAAAGTGTTTGCAAGTCTGTCAAGTAGGACTTGAAAAGTATCGACATGAATTTGAACAATCAAAAACGGAAGCAAAATGAATCGTACTGCAGCGAGATGGTCTAAAATCCTGAATTTCTTACAACTCTTCACGGAAAAGGGAAACGCCATTTTGATAGAATTTTTGAGGATGAACGTCTCCTGAAAGCTTGTTCAAAGTGAATGTATTTCGTGTATTAGACATCATCATTAATCAACTGAGATCGTGTTTTCTTGGAATGAATGAAATTGTTTTCAATTTCGGTGTCTTTGTACAATATGAATGATTTTGATTTATTGGAAAAGGCTTAAACATATAATAATGAAGATGATGAAAAGCCCTAATTTCGAGTCGAAAAATGAAGAAACTTCACCGCCCCGCGTGAGAGTCGAACTCACAACCTCTGGGTTACATGCCCAACGCTCTGCCAATTGAGCTAACGGGACATGCATTGATCAATCGGCAGGGAGGTCGAGTTCTCATCACACACCAGGCGGCAGAACCCTTCCAATTCCCGAATTCACTCGAAATCATGCACTATATATGAAGTATCGCTGGCAGGATAGTACTATACAGTCTCCATTTTTCCCCGTTCGTCCTCTGGCATTGCCTTTCCTTATATTTCAAACCCTGAGCAAGCTCGACGTAAACTGTCGAATGACACCAATAAAAAAATATAGGGATCAAAATAAAATTTTCGGTGAGACCCCTGTTTATTCCACCAAATGTTCTACACTGTAGCATTTCTGACGTCACCTCTGCTTGAATTTCCGTGCGGAAGGAACAATCACGTGGAGTTCAATCATTTAAATTTTTATAAAGTGACGTACTTGAATTTTTTACCGGTTTTCGTTCAATTTTCAGGATGAAATTTTCCATTAATTGAAAGAATTGGAAAAAATCTGATATGAGAATATCTGTTAGACTGAATCATAATGATGTGCTGAATATGTGCACTTATTTCAAAAACACCTCGTATATGTACAATTTTGAGCTGTTTATTAAAATTTACCATAATTACTGGAAAAACGTGGGCTTCCATGTTACATTTATAAGAAAATTCAAATCCATAAAACATAAAGTTTGCAAAAATCCGGCGTGAATAGTTGTTCTAAATATTAAAGATAGCATTTAAATGGGATTTCATCTGAAAAAGTGATTGCATTGCATTGTCTGAGAACATTTACCATAGTAATGTATATCTTTTTGACACCATCAGAAAGTATAGATTCTGAAACGAACAAAAAGCCCACCGACTTTTTTGAAAAAGCAGATATCTTGATGGAAGAATTTTCGATTATATAAATTTTTTTGTGCTTTTTCAATATTGAGTCAAAATGAGGAGAACAAATTAATTTATATATCAAATCAAAAAAATTACACTGTGTTTGGGACATGGGAAAGGGAATTTTCACCAAATTTCGTGATTTTAATATGTAAAAGATAAAATAAAAAAATCCAAAAAGTTGGTTATTTGAATTTTCCACATGAATTTCGAGGTTATGTGAAAAAAGTGTGGATACAAAAGTTATAGATCTTTTCATTACCTACAACTTTGTCATTTCCATAGGACTGGTAGTTTTGCCGGAAATCGTTTTTTGCCCTTAAAAACTCACCCTCTTCCACTTCTCAACCTCAGATCGCCCGTAAATTATTTTTCCTTTCATTTTTGTTATATTCTCTTCCTTTTCCAATGGGTTTCATATCTTATCTGAGGGATGCAGATATATTGCGCTCTTCGTTTAATGTTGGCTTATTTTCCACATATTGTTAATATTGGCGATTAAGAGTCCATTTGAGCAAAGCGAGACCCTGAATGGCCTAAGGACGGAAACAAATATCTGTCATATATGACGTCATTGCGGGTTGTGACTTATTCAATGGCAGGAAACATGGATGTGAAAAAAGCTAGTCCCGGGGATATTACGGCGACATCCATACGACTTACAATGCCATTTGAGAAGATGAAAAAAAACATATATAGAAAAACTCACGTATTTTCCGAGATGAGGTCTTCTTGCATCTCTGCAACTTTTGGTAGCGTCTCGTCAGCCTTAAGAATTGGTAATGTTCGGCTTAGATACTTTAGCGTCATATTCCGAATAAGTTCACTAAAAATGGGAAAAAAAAAATTCAGTTGAGAAGTAGAGACAAGGTGATATTAGGTATAAGGATGTGACTGAGGTTGAATGTTACAAAAATCGTTTTTTAAATTCTAACAAGCCGAAACATTTTTTTATTACATTTAGATTCCATTACGTGTTCAATATGGATGATATACGTATTCCTTCCTTCTGGTACAAAGTTTTATCTACATTTCAGATGTTCGAATCAACACTGAGAAAAACTGGTTAATTAAAACGTCTAGTTGGTATTTTTTTAGTACCGGTAATTAAAAATATTTGGAATTTTATTAACAATGACAACGTATCCTTATTTCCTACAAATGACTTTTATATTTTTCGCCAATTATTTGTCATCAATAAAAATACTATTTGTGACAGAATTATCACAGTGTTGTCTATTCAGTGAATTAAAATGTCATATTGGGGTTAAAATACCTCATTCTGGGGTTACTAACAACAGCTGACTATTTGCCACAACTGATGACACATTTATCGTAAAAGGTTTATTATTATTCATAGCAGAAATTGTTTAGCCATAACTAATAATTTTAGTTGTACTGCGTCGTTCGGGACCGCCTCGCGTCTCTTCGGGACCCACCTGCAAAAATTGCATCTTGCATCTGTTTGTCTTTCTGTTTCATCATTAGAACTTGTATCTTAATAGTGGATAGATCGCACGGTCGTCGAGCTTAGACAAAATAAATAAAATAATTGTCTAGTGTAGCCGGGAGCGTCGTGTTCTTGCTGGTTCACTGCTCTGTGTGTTTTCAAATCACTGTTTTGTGTTTTTTTGCACTTCGCGCTGAGCCATTTGGCATTTGGTTGGCAAAATAATAATTCGCAGTTTACCATCGTTATCTGTGCGTCACTAGTTATCAGGTTTAGGTACCTATTCACAATTCAGTTCAGTTTATGACGGGCGACGGTGAGAAACGTCCAACCGACGTCATGTGTACACGGTGTATATTTAGAATTCCCTATCTTTTTGCTGAGCTGTGGCCTGTGGCACTTACGGTGTGTGGTGTATTCCTGTTCACGATTCCATTGGAAATTGGAAGGAAAATGGCATACAATCTGTTATTATTAAAATGGGGCCTTGATTTTAATTGATATAAAACTATTAAGTTGCCAGAATAACTAAATTATATTTCAAACGTTACTAAATCCCTTTTAATAGTAACTAGATTCCATTTCAGTCACAATTGAATATATAATTTGCAACAACACACTCACTATTAACGTCAGAAGAAATGAGTAATTGCCCCAACTGGGATAATTTGTTGTGATAACAAACATATATTGAAACAGTACTAACAATCTAATTGCCATAACTATGTATCTTGATTGTGGCAAATAAAACTTGGTATTATTCCTTAAAAAGGCTTATTAGTTACCACAACAACGTCGTAGATGACTCAACTAAACTTTCCATTTGAGGCAAATAGGCGTTTCCAGAAAAACAGAATTAGTTATGGCAACAACTAATGCTTGCTGTCCCCTATCGTACTAAAAAATTTTTCTGTAGTTACTAATTTTTTAGTAACGGCTACAAATTTTTTCCCTCAGTGAACATTTATTTTATTTGAGAATGAAGGAAGGAAAAAAATCAACTAATAAAAACTTCAACCCATTTAAATATGCTTAATCTGAACAAAAAATCTGATCGATTGAAATGGAACGAAATGGATGGATTAACTATAACTTGCAACTATACTATCTATTGTTATTTGGGCTCAGAGTTATTCATTCCTACCGACTTTCATTTCCTCATGACCTTACAAAACCAAGAAACTTCAGACCTCCAGTGGAAATCTCTATTAGTAATATCATAAATGATATGCAATTAGATAGACCAAGAGCTCGCGTGAAAAATGGTTAAATTGAATATTCTAAACGTTTGATGCTTTTGATCGAAGTACCCCTCAATAGTAAGTATAACAACACCCGTCTGCCACCTTCAAGAGGGGGCATTACTTCATGAGGGGGTAATGAAAGGTCATCTTTTTTGTCAATAGAATAAAATTGTTCTTCCAGACTGAAATTCTGGACAAACGTTTCCTTTCTGATTATGAATATAACTGTGCTTTCCGATTTTTGGAGCAGACGGGGGCGTCATAGAAGCAGACGCCGTTAAAAATATGTCAAAAATGTCAAATGACAAAAATGAATATTCCACCTTGCAATTTGCATCAAATGCTTGATGGAAAAAATCAGCAGACGGCGGCCCAGGGCCGGCAGACGCCCATTTGTCATGTGAAGTGGTTTTCTCATATTTTTTTTCGGACGATATCTGAATGATGTTACTCCAGGCTGGAATTTGGTACATTTGTTATATTTTTGGTTGTGATCTTCACTGTGATTTGAGATTTTGAGCAGACGAAGGCGTTCTCGAAGCAGGCGCCGTCAAAAATATGTCAAAAATGTCAAATGACAAAAATAAATATTCCAACTTGCAATTTGCATGAAATGATACAAAATAAGAATTGTCCAGAATATCAGTCTGGAAGAACTACTTTAATCTATTATTGATAAAAAACTTGACCTCTCAACCCAGCCAGCAGGGTGACGTTAATTCTCGTCGAATCGACGTGGATAATAGGTGGCAATTGGTCGTCGTCAAGATACGACCAATAATTGACGTCATTTTGACGTGTTCCAAAAACGTATCTGATAGACGTCATTTGACGTCATTTAGACGTAACATCTGCACCACTCATTTTGTTTTATTTCGAAAAATTACTCCATGAACTGCATATCCAGGACTTATGATTGAACGCTTATCAAAATAAAATAGGTATACCTACCTTATTAGTAAAGAGGATTCACGTATACCCGACATGGATAAAACTAAGTGGTGAAATATGTAGAACAAATATTAATAAAAAACACCCTGAAAGAGATAACTTGGTAGCAGATACGGAAGATTCAAGAATTTATTATATGTATACAAATACGGTTATACCAGGTGCCTTCATATTTTATATTGGGGCGCCACGTGAAGACATACAGATGCTTATGATTGGTCAATCCGTGCTCCGTGGCTTCGTGTGTCTTCGTTTCGCACAATGCCACCGCTACCTCTATCGGACATCGTCGATCGTAGCACAGTTTGTCGTAGTCATATGCGCATGCGTGATCCAGTTCATCGAACGTTGTAATGGCAGATTCGTGATTTTGGGTCATGAAAAAAAAGGATATTATGGAAAAGTGGGGTTCAGCAAAATATATTGCAGTTCGCTGGTTATTTTATCAATTCCAAGCAATAGGAATGTTCGTGGGAATACAATATTCCGAGGAAAGGCATTGCTCTCGTCTCGTTCAGTAGAAGTAGTTGACGCCATGACAAGTGTAGTGGCCGCCTTTCAAACAGCAAGACTTTTATCAACAGGTCAATAATTGAGAAAGCGAAATCTACAAATGAAATTTGGAAGGTGTTTGATGTAGTGAGGTCGTTATTTGAAGAAGAGGTAATCTATAAATACCTTATTAAATCGTAGATACCTACAAGAATAATTTGAGGTTATTAGGTTGAGATTCCTTTGAAACTTGACATCTTCGTTTATGTCTATATACTATGGAATATAGTGGATTTTATGCTTATTAGTTTTATTCAGATGAAGAATACCTATGTATAATTATGTAAACAAATAAAAAATATCCACAACTATTGTAACTAGATCATTTGAACTGTTTTGCCAACCAACAAGGAATAGGATCATGAGAAAGTGATTTAGCGTTTCACTTTCACAGTTTCTTGGTGATGTCAAAACCTGGACCTACTTGGTGACTATTCGACGTGTAGAGGACGTCGCTAGCTGAAGTCGTTACGACGACGCTAAATGACGTCGTTACGACGTCGATGAATGACGTTGTTTCGCTGTGACATATTGAAGTCACATTTACGTCTCTTTCACGTCGATAATTTGGTCATTTCGACGTAATTGGTGACGCATATATGACGTGAAATTGACGTGTGTGTGCTAGCTGGAAACACCCCCTCCTGAGATAATGTCCCCACTTGAAGGTGGCAGACGGGTGTTGTTATATATTTACTAGTGTTGGGTACTTCAATCAAAAGCATCAAACCTTTGGAATATTAAGTTTAACCATTTTTCACGCGAGCTCTTGGTCTAAGACACTCACAAGGGATACGGTGACCCCAGCACGTTCTGCCCCATCGGGTTCCTCGGAATGCCGCCCTTGTTGAGGTCGCCGCACAGGTTGAAGGGCGACCCCATCTGTCCTTGGCCCTCCTCCTCTCTGCAGTCCTGGCGCACGTGCGTGTAGGGCGGCGGGCGCACCGCGGGCGGCTCCGCGTTCGGGGACTCGATGAAGGCGTAGTAGCCCTCCGGAGGGTCGGAGGTGGTGGGGCTGTCTGCGGTGGTGGGGCGGCCGTAGGGGAATGCCGCGAGGATCTGTCGAAAAAGCGGAAAATTCATCAGCCCAACTAGCAAAGTAGAACTCATGGTTCAAGTTTCGTTTAGCTGAAATCAGTTATGGAAAATTTGTTGCTATGGTGACCGTTGTCATGGTTACGAGTAAACAGAAAACAAAATCCCGTGGTGAGGAAATGCGTGGTTGCCAAGTTGTATCGGGTTTAGTATAGCTGAAATCAGTTGTGGAAAAAATGATGCCATGGCAACCGTTGTCATGGTAACAGGTGAACAAAAATCCAAATCCTATAGTAAGGAAATGCGTGGTTGCCAAGTTGTATCGTATTTAGTTTAGCTGAAATCAGCTATGGAAAAACTGTTGCTATGGCAATGATCGTCATGGTAACGAGTAAACAAAAACCAGATTCCTGTGGTGAGTAAATGCGTGGTTGCCAAGTTTTCTCTTTTCATTTCATTTCAGAAATTTACACCATTTGAGGTCAGGTTATAGGTTGGTCAAAAATCTTAATTCTGAACCACCCTGTATTCATTTCAATTAAATATCAATTGATAGTACATGAAAAGTTAAGATAGGGACATGGAGACCGTTTGGACCAATTATGAATAGTTTCGACACAAAATATTTTCAAAGTGTAAAAATTTCGATTTTTACACCCTACATCTTTGTTATCATTTCCGCTAGAAACCAAGTTTTATCGGTCAATGAAATCATCTCTTCAGGGAGAATCTGAAAATGGAATGATATACAGGGTGTCCCATTTGAAAAATCAAAGTTGTTGCTACTTTTCAATATAAGCGGCAACGTCGCAGCGCTGAAAATATTTTAGGTCGATAGAGCATAACTAATTATCCAAGGTACCAAATTTTCAGAATGATCCCAAGTTACGTTCTCCAGAAACGTTAAATGTGCCATCCACCGTAAATCACCATGTGTATATGTCGGTATACATAAGTGAAACTAGGTTTATTTCGGAATCCAGCGAAGTGAAAAGAGTATACCTTTGAAGTTTGTCCAGGCTTTCGGAATATTATATTTCCATCATCAGGGAGACTACAAACAAATTATGATTAGGTCACATTGATCATAAAATAGATTATGATTATACATAGATAGAAAATATATAGAAAATGGTATCCACTCCAAAAATCTGAGAATGAAAATGATAAATTCAAAATCAATTGAAAAACACTCTGTTTCTCACACAGATATATATCCGTCAACTTATGTCACTGAAAATGTGTGTCAAAAGACAGAATCGAAAAGATCGATCTCAATAATTTTTTTCCATTTTTATGTTGAAAACGGGAGCAGATTCGACCCTAAACGTCGAAAATATTCTTTAAACAAGGTGTCACTGGCTATTGATTAAATTCTAATAGTTCCATTTCAGGCGCAGTGATATTGTTTTGAGGTGAATCGTCTGATTTGTCCTTACAACAATTATATTCAAATAATATACTGATATTTTTATTTATAGAAGCAAGGAGAGAAAATCCCAATAATCTAGAGAAATGATCATCTGATCATCAGATCAGCAGAGATTTTTCCACCGTTTTGTATTTTTGTTGGAAAAGAAGATGCGATGATATAAAAATGGGTACGAACACCGTGATTCTACAATAGTTCAATAACGGTTATAATTGATCATTCCATATCTGTAGTCGCCACAATTAATTCCATAAACCATAAACTGTAAATCGCTTCTATTTTATAAAATATAGTTATCAGATATACTTTGATGTGATTGTAATAATACACATACAAATGTAATAAACTGGTCAACATTTGAAATATAAAATCGAGAATTACCGATCAAATTTGACTTATTATTACTTCAGATTTTCACAACCGGATTTCAATTTTTTCGCAGTTCCTGAATGCTTGTTTCATTGGTTATCAAAACATTTACGAGAATCGTTACGAATATGATACTACAGGATGATACATAATATAATACTGTCTAATATTACAAAATTATCAAAGGGTTCTCGTTGGGACCGAAATTGTTTGTAGGTATTTGGTGTATTTGGTATTTCTTATTTAGGAGTCAGAAGCATGTAACGCAAGGTGTTTTGTGTTTTATTAATATGTCATCAGTTAACCAAAAAAGATAACAGGAATGATAATAAATCATTCTACATCAATATAGAGCATTCAAAGTTCAAATCGCAATATGCAACTGAATTTACGATTCTTTAGTATCTCGAATCACCATGTGGATCGATATTTACTCACTATCAAAGAAATTAAAGTGATGACTGTCCCCCTGTATCGATTTCATGAAAAAACTGTTTTATTTCATGAACAGATCAACTGATATTAAGGACAATTATAAAAACGTCAACTTTCCATAAATAAAGATGTTGCGTCTCAATGAAGTATGCTAATCGAAAAATCTCGAAACAGTTTCGGCGAAACATATCAAGCAATCATAATATGCCCTAGAAAAAAATCCGAAAATTTTTCTAAATGATTGGGATAACTTCGAAAATATTTATTTTTGTAATGGGCCTATGTTTCTCCCTGTAGATCTGAAAACAAACTAATGGCCTAGGCTATGAAATGCCAGCCGCGGCATTAAATCTTGTACTTTTCTGCCTAGTAAAACAAATAACTATTTTTTTAAATATCATCAGATTTTTAAGTTGGTTAGGAATTCCCTCGGAAACCCCCATACATATTGAAATACAAAACAGGGAACTACTTCAAATTATTTTTTCCTATTTAATTTTGAAGAAAATAATCTCCATGCTACCTACTTACTTACATTTGTATTGAACCTTCCAACTGACGCCAGAAAATATGCAATAAGATAATATCCCTACAAGTGACGGGGGGAATACAAAAAGTACTATTTTATAAAATGTCAATTATATGAGTAGTTTGTAGATTGAAAGTATGATTGTGATATACAGGGTGTTTCAGATTTAAATGTACATACGATACCTGTAGATAGAGGACACTTCGGTGGTTCCAAATCACCCCCCATCGATATGTCTACCGTCTTTTATAACTGAGATACAGGACGTTATCTTGATATTGGCAAAATCTTCATCTGGTTATAACTTCTGAACCACTTTGTATAATCCATCCATACTTGGTAGAAATATTTCACTTATATTACCCATCAAAACCAAATGAAAATCCGGAATAAAATCCAGGTCCGTCTTGAGGAAAAACAGAAAAATTCTTTTATCTCAAAAACAACACTGTATGGCAAAATTTTATTGATCGGTTTTGATATTTGGAAAGAGCGGAAAAAAATGAATGAAGTGACCTACTTTTTACGAGTGCGCATCCAATTTGAAAGATGGTTTATTATCATGTTTTGAAATATTCAGCTCCATTTCGAGGCATTTTTATTGAACTCATAATTCAAAACCCAATTTTCATACAGAAAAATGACAGTCTCCAAAGTTCAACATCATTAGAGTCAAATTAGGTGAACTATCGATAAATTTGTTCGTTTGACAGAATAATTTGTCGATGATTTCAAAAACTCTCGAGGACTAATTTTATACTTCACTATTTATTCATAAGCTGCGGTGAAGAAGGCTGTGAAGAAAAAATAAAAATTCGGACCGTTCATAATCACTATAGTTGCGATATTATTGGTAAAGTTATTGGAGGCACAATTATGAACACTTTGAAATGTAACAACCCAATACTAGCACCAGAAATAATCATCTCAACATTACCAATAATATCACACTAGTGATTATGACCTGTCAGAATATCAGATTTTTTTGCACAGCCTACGTAACCGCAGCTCGTGAATTAATAGTGGAGAATAAAATGAGCCCTCAAAAATGTATGATACCATAGACAAGTGATTCTGTCACAACAAATCTATCGATAGTTCACCTAATTTGACTCTAATGATGTTGAACTTTGAAGACTGTTATTTTTTTGTATTAAAATTGAATTTTGAATTATAAGTTCAATAAAAATGCCTCGAAATGGAGCTGAATATTTCAAAACTTGATAATAAACCATCTGTCAAATTAGATGCGCACTCGTAAAAAGTAGGTCACTTATTTCATTTTTTCCCGCCCTTTCCAAATATCAAAACAGACCTTCAAAATTTTGCCATACAAGGTGTTGTTTTTGAGATAAAAGGAGTTATCTGTTTTTCCTCAAGACGGACCTGGATTCTGATCCAGATTTTTATATGGTTTTGATGGGTAATATAAGTGGAATATTTCTACCAAGTATGTATAAATTAGACAAAGTGGTTCAAAAGTTATAACCAGATGAAGATTTTGCCAAAATCAAGATAACGTCCTGTATCTCAGTTATAAAAGACGGTAGACATATCGATGGGGGGTGATTTGGAACCACCGAAGTGTCCTCTATCTGCAGGTATCGTATGTACATTCAAATCTGAAACACCCTGTATAGTTGGAAAGGTAATTCTATACTGAATCGTAATTTCTAGAAAAAATACAATGTACTCGAAATGAAAAAATTGGATGCATTTCCGGTAGAACCGGCAATGTCATATTTGGTCTGAAAAATAGCAACATTACACTCATGAAATCAAATCGAATCAAATCAAAATAGCAACGAAATTGGTTCCGGGTCACAATATGTCTTTCAAAACACGATGAAATCAGTGAATTTAGAATGAATTATCACGAACAAGGAAAGTTAGAAATATTACGATCGAATTCGAAATATTTTATTGAGGATGTCATATAGGGTGGAGTCGAATGTTTTATCATACTGTTCTCGAAATTTTCAATAGTGATGATGATTTCATCTCCGAGTGAGAGAATCTTTCTTACATATGATTTCTAGAACCAGTATTTTGAAAAAAAAAAACGAAATATACAGGGTGTTTCAAAATTGGTGATCCCTCAGGTAGAATACTATTTAGTTGGGTTTGCTTGGTAAACAATTTTCATAGCTGCATCCGTATTCAAGATACACAGGGTGTTTTTTTTTGCAATTGCATTACCTCGTTGGTCCCAGCACTGGGACCAAACGCCCCATAAGTCAAAACTTGTGCGGGGTTAGGTGAGCATACAAACACAAACATTCATGGCCTAACTAGGATTCGAACCTATGTCTCGGTGGGAGTCCCCATACGAACTCAGCGCC